TTCAATTCAGGTACAGGACAGTGGAACACGTTACCTGCAGGAGTGGTCAACTAATGTTAACGCCTTCAAGATAGCCATGGACGCATGTTGGTCAGCAACGTTCGCCGAAGTTAGTCTTTAGAGTGGGAACATAAGGAATAAATTCTACTTGAGCCAGAATCTTTGAAATGTGCAAACTCGGGCTTGGCTGTTGGAATTTTTCTAAACCTGGCTGTCCTGTCAAATGTGAACAGTGTGTACTTGAGATCTCTAACCAACGAGACAAGGAGATATCCTTGCTTGCTTTCCTCCCTTTTTCAGCATACCCCCAAGAAGTCAACGTTCTTGCAGCGGGGTTAATTGGAGAGGACTACAAGCATCTAATCAACTGTACGCAGTGTTGAAAGCTACTCACATCCGCTGATAACACAACGAACTAGACGCTCGTTTGGCAAGAGCCATATTCGTCCTGTGAAAACTGAACTGATCGAAACTAAAGTTGTTTTACCAGTTTCGGATCGTCCTTGGACATTTGTAATTTTTTTGAAAGAAACATTTTATTCCGCGATGGTCAGTCTGCTGTTACTCGTCATGATATACTTTGATTTTCTAGCCTCCAGCCAAAAAAAAGGAAAAAAAGGGAAAGCGGGAGAGTAAAGGGCACACTGTTATACATGGTGTTAGTACAGCAGACATGACAAAAGAGGAAATCGAATCATACGTAATACTTCTTCGAGAAGAACTTGATCGCGAGCGTCAAGAGAGAAATTTAGCTGCTTTGGAGAAAGATAAAATAATGAGCTTCTGGGAGCTCTCCAAAAAGAATTTGGAAGATGCTCGAGCTCTTTTATCTAAAAAGGAACGTGAGCTGGAGGATGCTGACGAGAGACATCAACTTGAAATGAAAGTGGGTTAGATTTAGGTGTTGTTTTCCATTTAAGTACGATTATCGATACGCATTTTGTATCAGTTCCGACTGGTCGTTTTTTTGCTAACATATATAAACGTATATATGATTATTATAGTGATCGATCCCTATGATCATATATGATCATCACTTTGGTGATTAATGCAATAATGCCTCACCAAATAATTATTACATATTGTTTAATGTATAATAATTATTATCCTTTAAGGTTTTCTTGATTGTGATCGATGCATCGATCTATGCAACAAGGATGATCGTGATCCATTCAGCACAGCAGTCCCATACGAGTCTCATATGAGTACCAACTGGGTGCGTTTGGAACCAAAAGGGAACTCAAATCGATAATATTTTCAGTGACATTCATAAGCAAGTCCGGCTGGCGGTTAGGATCATACAATTAGATACCTCTGTTATTATTAGATAGCGCACTGGCATAGGCTCGGGAATAAATGCACGAAAAACATTTGTTGGCTTAAACTGTGTGTTGTGATGCATTCAATGAGTTCAACACCTCACATTCCTTTTTCCAGCTGCTTTAATGCACTTTGTGTAAACTCAAAAACTCAACAGTAACAGCAAGTGGTTGTTGAAACATGTATTACAGATATAAAAATATATACAATGGGTTCCATTTCGTCAACATTTTGAGATTTCCTCCGGGTAGCTTTCGCAGTCCGCCCAACCACCCTATTAGAGTCCCAATGTAGTCCTATTCGCGTCTCATCTGAGTCCCATTGAAGTTTGTTAGCATCCAAGACGGGACTCTAATGGGACTCTATGGGACGGCTCCCAGGGAGCCGTCCTTTCGCGTAAGGACTACTTTACATTGTATTATCAAAACATACATTTCTTCACTCTTGCACGGTCTTGCTTAAGACTAAGATACATCAAGGAAGCTGTAATCCATCCCGAAGATGGCGACTTATGCTTCGTCCTAATTGAGAAATACCAAAATCCACACATTACATTTATAACTGCAACTCTCCTATATAAATACAACACCAAGGGTAAATAGAAATTTGTATTTGAAATAAAAAATAGTACAAAAAATCCCATTAGTTAGCAATCCGATAACTCTTCGGTGTTTTTTTGTTGGACTCTTTTCGGTGATTCTTTTCTCGGGCGTTCTAAAACCATATTTGTATATTTTTTAACTTATCTGATACAGGCTTCACGCGGTAAAGCCTTTTTAAAGGTACAATCTACATATATATATATATGCATAATTATATAATACGATATAGTTACCGTGGCAGTTGCTTTTGGTGCACATTATAGATCGCTAACATGCATTTCAGTTGCACCTATGGTAGTGTAAAAATAATTTCTACTCCAAAAGTATCAGACTTACAGTCATAAAAATCCTCTGTAGGTTACACTTTACAACTGCTGGTGTCCGTATACACCAAAGCATTTTCCAGGGAAACTAATTATGAATGACGCACAAAATGTTGAAAATTGCCAAACACTGATATGAATGGTCTACGGATGATATATTTTCATACTCTCTAGATTTTAATGCAATGCCCAAAGAAGACGTTATTAGAAAACTTTATTTACCACGTCTTCGTACTGAACACCGAGGAGAACCACGGGATTGTTATTTCGCTTGGTGAAAATGTCCAGCGCAGCTAAACATATGCACCTGAAATAGTTCATTTAAACAAAGCGCTAACNGATTTCACTGGTAAATATTCACGCCAATTTATTAATTTTTAGCATTAAATTCATCATTCAATGAATTTATTTGGTTCAATTGTTGTATTACTTTTAGAGTGTTTATGCATAGTCCCAGCGGTGCTGGACTGGTGATGAATTCATATAGGACTCAATTGGGACGGGCCATTAAGGATAGTCCTGGCGGGACTCGAACAGGACAATCAACCGTCCCGATGTGCGAGCAGAGTCCCTAGTTAAACTCTCTAAATGNATTTGTTTCTCTCCCCTAGAAAGATTTCTTAACTACGAATTAAAGATTTTGGTAAAAAATTCATGTAACAAAATAAATTCAACCACAATCATTTTGGAAATATAAGTAGATTTCTGACCACCATGGTTATTTTTCATTCTAATTGATTATTGTGTTTACACAGAGATACGAAAGCGTGTCTATTGCGCTCGAATTAATCATTGACAGTGATCCTGACGATGTACAGAAGATAATTCGCTTACAAATTAGCTTATATGAGTCATAAACATACCATTTTTGGCAAGCTTCAGAGTGCCTTAGTTTATCTTCAATAATCTGAACTTAAAATGTAAATGTAACTAAATGTAAATGTCTTTTTACTTCCTTTTTCTATTTGTGGAATATACAAATGTACAGCCAACTTTCAGGAAAGGGGCTGCGGCCATACAAAGGCTGCCTGGGGAAAATACAGATATAGGGAAGACGGGCGGCGGTGGAGCGGTTTGAACCCGGGACATCCAGGTCACTGGTTGGTGACCTAATCACTTGGCCACCACCTCTCACGAAGGTTAAGAAACCACAAATGACAGTGATTCGGCTTCTTCCTGTACCTTCAGTGTCATTCATATATCATATCTCCTAGATTCAGAGACTTTGCTATCATCATTTATTTCCAGGATTACCGATTGAAATGTGTTCATAAAATTATGAATTTTAATAGGAAAAATCAGTAACATACCAAGAAAGTTCAATAATATTTGATCAATTGAGATGTTTTCAAGCACTAAATGGGGTCTAAAATGTTATTAAATGTAATCTCTCTTATCAAGGTCTTAAAACTGTCAATGTTGAAAAGCAGATTGTGTCTGATGCACATAAGGGGGGGGGAATAGCGCTTCAAGTATACAATTGATTATCCTAAACAGTACACGCATATCAATAGCCAAAGAAGTAAGTAGCCTACAACCATGAAAGGAAGTTTTTTTGATGCAGTGCGATTCGTCATTCCTCTGAGCTAGAATTCTCATAGTAGTAGGTTCAAAATTTGCAGCGTTCTATCTATAACCGCGATTTCATTAGTCACATATTCCGATCTATTGAAGGGGATTCTTATTACAATCTAAGAGCCAAATGTGTCAAGCTTACGGTTTCAGCTCACTAAAATCATTCACTAATCAGCAAAAGCTAACAGAGGCACAGTAGTTGCCTTCGATATGCACCTCCGTACACAACTGACGTTGTCTACACAACGAATTTATTAGAGTACTTAGTAAAACTTATCTGTGGCCCTTGAAACTTGCATCTTGTTTCTTTTCTCTTTTAGATATCGTTCGGATTAGCTACAAAGTACCATTGCGATTTTTATTGAAAAGCCCCAGCCAAATTAATAGCCGTTGCCTCAATGTTAAAATGAAAATGCTATATTCAACTTCAACTGTATTTTACGTCTAAGAGGGAAGTTGTATCATTATGCAAATATATACAAACAGAATGATTCAGTTTAAAAACTGCAAAGGCAGAATTAACCATAAATATTTATTTCAAAGAAACATCCAAAATATATATAACAAGAATAAAAAACAGTTCTCGTGTACAAAAGGATAACAGCTTGCAATGATGTATAGTTCCAATTAATTACGAGGGGTAAAAGAGTGTCAAACTTTTGAAATATATAAAAATCGGAGCAGAGTAAGGAACAGAAAAAATAACCTTCCAGTTCACAAAATATGGAAAAACAAAACTATATTCTAAGGAGCACCACACGTGATGGTTAAGTCAGGAAAAAACCAGCTGAATCTCAAACGCGATCGAGGGTCATCTCGTCGACACCGGGCAAATGGTCAAACAGGAGAAAGCCTTCAATGTTGTTTATCGTATCCCAATCAATAGATCGAGGGCGACTGAAGTTTGGACACTAATTATGGCCGAGGCGATTGCCATTTAATTACCAGGCCCGTACCTGTGTGCCCAAAAAGACTGATTCAGGCTCTCCAATGGCCTTGACCGGGGGTGAAAACCAAGACAAAACATGACGTGTCACTTGACCCAAGTGGGGAAAGGTCACATCAACTAACACAATCAACATTCTTACACATATACATACAAAGACACACACACATACACATCCTCTATTCTCTACCTCTGGTTAATAACCTTAAATTGGCTCAATTTAAGCCAATGGCTATCATTATGTAACCATTTTTCCCACGTGTATGATATGTAAGAGCATGATTAGGAACTACTGGAAACAATTGTTCGCTCACCGAATAGTTTTCTCAATGCCATCATGGGAATATTTAAACTTTTGAAAACTATATGCATTAAAAATTTTAAAAGCCCATGTTTTTTTATCGCATAAGACACAGCTGTTTAGCAAAAAACACTTTGATGAATTCATCAAACTAAGAAAAATTGTGAAAATGATGGAAAAGACCGGCATCATTGAATTATTTATAATTTTTAAACGGCTAAAGATTTTACTCACAAAGGGGCATAAATAATTAGATGTTTAATATTTCATTATAAAAAGAAAAGAAAAAATATATAATTAAAATTTGGACGTATTCATATATTAATTTCGAGTATACGTCTCAGCCATTTTGTGGCACGTCACTAACAAATTTAATATCTAGATGAAAATATAGTTATGCCCTAGTGACCATAAATTATATATTATTCCCCGTAGGAAAAAGTCTTTTTAGTGTTCTTTGATAAATGGCACTCTAATAGTATCATCGTGACAAAAGTTGAACAAAATTTGAACGTAATTGTTTATCCTGTTTTGGATTCCTTTTAGTTCGCATTGCAGTTCAATTATAGATCTTATTGCTCGGCTTGTCTCGTTAGATCTCATTCGGCAATTGGAACGTCACCAACAAACAGAAGATCGATATTTGGTAGACAGCATTCTAGTTAGTTGATGTAGAGCAGAACTCCAAGTACCAATATTTGTGACGCTCCACTAGAGACCGCTTCAGCCTCAAAAAGCCGGACTTTCTCCAGTGGTTTTAAATAATGTTTTTCATTTTGAGAAGATTCGATAATAAAATTTTGTCACTCCTATTGCAGTTGGTTAGTGTTTCCTTAGCATATTTCACTGAAATCTCTGCAATACTTTTACCATGAAAACGATTAGCAATGTTATTTAAGCAGAATTTTTTCGATAAATGGTAAAATAACTGCTTAGAAATCGGAATCCACTTTTATGGAAATACAGAGAAGTATTACTTTATAGTTGCTTTCCATAATGCTTGACTAGACTATCTGTTTTTAAAAGATCTACTTTGAAGATTAAACCACTGGTGACCCGTCACTAAATAGTTGACTCTTTAGTAGTAAAAAGGATCAAATACCGCAATATATCATAAAAAATGCAGGATATTACGCATGCCTACGAATTAATTTGGTCGTTCTCAGTCATATTTTTTGCAAATTTCAAAAACAGCAAACACCGGAATGATCAATTTACTAGGTGCAAACAAAGTGGCATACCCAATAGAATTCAACACAATAAGTTCTCCCTGGAAAATTAGCTCTTTCTGTCGCTTCAGTTTACGATAGGATTCAAAGTACGGTGAGATTTCTATTGAACGCATTTCCTTGTTAATCGACCAACTGTAAACCCCTGCTTGTTTTGAAAGCTCTGGAGAGGAATCCGATGGTGAAACATTCTATGGTTGTGATAGATGCAGTTCCATCACAGCCTATGTTTTTGTCACAATTCCGCTTTTTTCTTCAATTAACCTGAATGTGTTATTCCTTTAATTGGTATGTGCTGCGTGCATTATTTTTTCTACTCGTAGCGCAACTTACAGTTATAATTTAGATCCTGAATATTCGATGTGGTTTCCAATGCAAGGTTTTTACAGTGATTGGTACCAGTGGTTTTGAATCTGTATGCACACAAACGAGTTAACCAAGAGTGCACACCAGTATTTTGGGGTATGCACAATTACTAGCAATTATTTCCACTTTTATGCACAATTTTACTCACAAGCATTTTGCTTCCGTCTTCCATTCTGCATCGTGAACAGACCATGTTGATTGCTGTTGTACAATATGCAATAAGGTAGAGCAGAATCGCAATAAGCTAGCACACAAGCCTTCCAAATTTGATGTTTGAAGCTACCTAATATCACTTATTACTTATTTTTTTATCGATTTCACAGTTCTCATTTGTGGGTTAATTGTTTTATTGAAAAAAGCACATAACCCGATTGAGAGTGAGTCTACTTAAAAACTAACCTTTTTGTCAAAACACAAAATGAATTTCTTGTCGTTTGGCAACGGCATCTCAATAACCATCTAAACGTTATCTGGACTAAAATATGATGCACCTGTTTTTGATAAAATATCTGCGAAACATATTTTCCAGCTAGCGATAAGCTGTATTTGTCCCGCTTTGGTTTTACTTTTTCTAATTTGCTTGACTGAAGAAAGCTTCTGAATTACCTGTCTATTTCCTCCAGATCTTTTTCGAAAGTCATTGCATCATTTGCGATACATAGGATGCTTATAAGGGCATTAAGCGCCTTTGGACCAAATGGAAATTTTAACTCATTGATATCGACCCCACAGTGTGCTGAAGGTACTCCATAACCTGAAGATCCATTCAACAGTACATGCTGATATAGTGAGACTATTTCTGTTTTGATAAAGTAAAGATCTATGAGTAATTTCGCAAAAGATCGTCAAGAACTTGCTCTTTATTAATTCCTCACCTCATCGGATGAGGATTTATTTAACTTTGGGACATTCTCCAAAGCTTCTTGGTTACGGTGACCAACTGACTTTATTTCACTTTTTCCCTTTCATTTTACTTCTATTGAGTATACAAAGATACAACTCTCAGAAAGGGAGAAGCAACCAATCAAAGGGCTGCCATGCAACACACACAATGGGGAAACAGGCGGTGGTAGTAGGATTCGAATACACGTTCTCCGAGGTGATAATTGGTGACGTTACCACCGGGCTACCACCGCCCATTTGTCATTGCTTTCACCTTGTCTGAAATGCATTCCTAAAGTGCACTGCTATTTCAAGCAGGAGTTGCTTTTAACTGCATACAATTTACGCGCGATTAAGAAAAGAATGGACTGGTCTGATTAAGCAACACGTGCCACTATGGTTTACACTAGTCTTTCCAGCCGTTTATGGAAAACACTGGTGTCCTTCTGAGTAATTCTGGGAACTTTGGTATACACAATAAACTCAGTTATTACGGTTAACCGAAAACAAAGCGATACACCATCATCATCACCATCAAAAAGATGGCCTTAAAGCAAAATTTCAGGGCTCAATTAAAGTTTGCATGCATCTTATATATTTTAGTCAGAACTTAAAATATACCTGAAGTTCGTAAATGAAACGCAAACCACAGACATTCAACCATTTGTAACGATTATTTCAATGGAAGACTAAATACATGAATATACACTTGATTAAATATTTCGTAAGTGGTTAAACGCCATTTATCGTAGATTTCTCTTATAGTAAATTACTTTGGCTGACGTTTCAGGACCAAGTCTCTGCAGGCAACGGTTGAATCCTCCTAATGGGTAGACATTCAATTATCTTCCATATGCTGTTAATTAGGTGCATTTGTTAACCACCCTTTGATGATCGGATGTTTGACAGAAAGTGGCATTTCATTTGAGGATACGTCTCCATGTCCGGCAGAGTTGAAGGCAGGCTCACTGAAGAAAACACTATAAAACATGACTCTTCCTTGTTGGTAACCACATTTACGCGTAATATTATACTTTCCGCTCAACATTCCAATTACTTTTCATTGCAGGTTTATAGTCTGCTCAGATAGTGCAATTAAATAGTCAGGTATCCTCGTTTGTTCACAAATGAGAATGCTTTAGGTTAACATCTACCAGAACAAGCTATTTTTAATCTTATTGGTCACACACAACCTATTTTAACTTTTGACGTTTATTCTCAGGGTCTACCTTGAAAAAGAGCAAGCATTTTAGATAATCTATTGTCAGTACAACTGGGTCAAAAATAGAATAATTTTAAAGTAGCACTTATGAATAATGTTTACCATTTGTTCCTCACGTCAATGATTGGATTTAATATAAACAAATATCAAATAAAAATGTCGCACAAAAATTCAAATAGGAATACCGGTGTAATTCATTAGTCACTTGCATATATGGTTAAAAGAACCTTGATTACCTTTGGATTATTTGCGCTTCCACCGTTGAGTTCTTCATGTTGGAGGTTAATGAATTCCTAGATCATAATTATTTTCTAAAATCAGTATTTTTCAAACAAAGAAAAGTCACTTTCTGTAATGAACCCACACCGCTTTGTGAGCATAAAGCTATTAGTTTGAAATTTATAGTACGTGCATGAAGTGAATCAGCTAAGTTTGCAAATAAGCAGATAAAACTGTTTTTAGCATCAGCATTTTATAAACTGCAACCCAGAGAATCAGAAGCCACTATACAGACGTGAGAATCCCCTCAGGCTTTAGAATTGTAATCACATAATTATGATTGCAAACATTGCAAGTGAACTAAGTTTGAAACTATCAAAAAAGTTTGTGGTTCACTTTTGGTCATACAAATATCTAGAGTTTTAGGTGCATCTTTTAAAATAGTTATGGCAGACAATTATGCCAAAGTACAACCTCCGTTTTACTAGTCTTGAGATGAATACCACCAACATATTTTAGTCAAATACTGAGAACATTAAAACAGACACTTTTAGATTGTATAAAAGCAAGTGACTAATTCGACTCAGCATTTGATTAACTAATAACCAAACTCACATTTAGGCGATCATTAAATAGATGTGTCCCACTAATACGTACACCGCAATTCGCACGGAATATGTTCAAACATTTACTGCGTATTCATTTCACTTGACACATTTTCTTTCACGTGATTACAGTAATAATCCATGGCGGGGACTGTTCTCCTTCATCCATGTGTGATCACATACTGAATGGGCAAGCGTCCTGAAAAGTGAGCACCACAGTTCGTGAGAACAAAAAGTAAGACACGTTACGCAGTAGGATAAAATTAAAAGAAAACTATTCAACATAAATAAAACATTGTACGGAAACAAATAAAACAAAACATTTAAAATGAAAGTCCAAAGCATTCTGCAAATTTAATATTGGGAAGAATAAAGGATCGGCCAAGGGTGCGCTGTGATCAATTTTGAGTTGTTTATCGTGTTAGGTATACACATTTTGTTCCTTAGCGACGGGCGTAATACGAATATTTTCCTTCTATTATCGATTTTTGGAAGATACTAAGTCTAAATGATAGCCTGAAGCGTCGAATTCGCATTTGTCTCACTATTACCACTGAAGTACGTGAAAGAAAGACTATCACTGATTCTGCAGAGAATGAACAAACTTTAAGACATTGTCGAGGTGTATGAAAAGTTTATTATCCTATACTTAAATGTGCCAGTTGTCAAAGGGAAATCTTGATGTTATCTCAAGGTAACAAGCAAAGTTGGTCACTGCGCTCGAGGAAAAAATTACTGTGAATGACTACCTACTCGAAAGTAGCATAAATGTAGCAGACTATGTAAGGCTGACGGGATCCGTAGAGAAAAACAAATTTAACTGAATACACTTTAGTTGTACCCTCAAAAACGGTGTTCACACAAGTTTGAGTCGCTTCCACTAAGAAATGTAATGTAATATAATATTTAATGCACTATATTATTTAACTTCACCTATACAATTCGATTGTTTGACATCAGGAAGGACGCAAACAGCCTTCATTCTTAGATAGTGAATGTTTGGATTGGCATATTCGATTTTTCACAGACACCAGGCACTGTTGATTTTTCATTCTTCATTTTATTCTACTCCAGTAGTCTTCTGCATTTATTCGTGTACTCTGTTTACAAAATTGATAAATTG